GAATTTTTTTAAAATACCTACCTTGATCACCAAAACCAGCCAAAAGCGGAACCGACCAATGCCCGATTCTAATCTAACCAGCTGGTTCTGAGTTAAACCAACCGATATTGCAAACACTAGGCTCAAGTTAGGTCAGATCATGTCTAGGTCTACGCACACACAAGTGTAAATTTTTTTCCTATAAATGGGAAAGATTTGTATAAGTTGCCGACGTATAGATAAGTAAGGCACACCTCTAAATTTTATTGAAAGATGTGGTTTTGGTGTCAAAAACCTTACAATTGTTTAAAAATCCATATTCAAACCTAATTACGAAATTTAAAATTAAAAAAATTGTGCTGATCGAACAAATCTAAAAATATTTGTAAATCTTGATAATAGACAATCAATATTAATTGTTACAAGGTGCATTGTTTTTAAGACTTGGAATTCCTTTTTCTTTTTTAATATATTCATACATTTTGAGATGGAGATGGTCAATTGGAAAGTTTTCCAATTTCGAAATACTCTTTGTTCTACTGATTTTCGAGGTGCACCTTACTCTATAGTACAAGGTTGCAACCTTATATTTGTCCGAGGTTGCAACCTTATATTTGTCCATCTTAAAAATGGATGTGGAGTTGTGTTCGCTTAAAAAATAGGTAAAATTGACCATTTGAAATTTTGTTCAAAAAATTATTATTTTTAGTTTTTACAACTTATTTAAAATTTCGTTTTTTTTTGTTTAACACATGCATGCACTCCTTGTTAGAGATTATATATACCTAAAAAATTAGGGCCAAAATCTATCTAAAAAATGGGTAATGAAGAGGGGATGCATATCTACATGAGTCCTAGGATTTGGATATAGAGAAAATAAAATAAAATTCAAGACCAGATCCAAGGTATATATTGTCGTGTCCATATATACCTTGTTAGATCCAAATCATAGTATTCATGTGATTTAGAACGCACACCTAAAATTTCAAGTGATTTGGATATGTAAAAAATAAACTAATATTCAAGCACTACTGGACATCTGTAATTGTCAGATCGGCCCAGATTCAATATGAGCCGGGCTCA